ACGCGCTTCTCATGAATTTTTGGTGATTGCACGGAGAGATTCAATTTTTCCTTGATAAGTCGGGATCTTTCTATGCAATCAGCAATAATTTTCTTGTTTTATTCTTTTGTTCTCTATTTTAATTAACAGATTCTATTTAATTATTTACAAAATCAAAATATTAATTTCCAGAATGATGCATATTTAACATTTAAATTTCCTTTAGCATTTTATAGGAGTTACTTTCATTTATATTTTCCCTATAAATCTAACCTTTATCCTAGCAGAAATGCGGATGATTTTATTTTTTAAGTCCTTTTACATAAATTTTAAAATTCATTAATTTTTAAGTTTTTCTTCTTATTTTTTTCTTTATAAATTACATTTTTATCATAATGTTTTAAAACCTATTCCTAAAAAATGTTTCCAAGCATTTGATATTTCAAATATATTTTACCTAAAAGAGATGTGCAATAAACATGGGCTTGCTAGTACTCAAAGGCCTAAAAGGTTCCAAATTTCTGGTTCATCCTGGACTCGATTTCCAAATGTGACTCTTCGGACTTTATAAATGTGTAAAGCAAATATCACTGTTTTCTTTAAAATGTGAAATATGAAGGCATTACATATGATAGGCATATAAAGTATAAATGCTATTTCATTAATAACAATTACTTAAACTTAAGTATATCAGAGACAATCAAATACCAAGAATGATTTAAATGTATATATTGCTTTCATCAAAGAACATCCAAGAAAATTACAGGTTTCTTTTTAATTTAGAAAGAAACTTTCTTTTATACCTGAAATGTAAAGCGTTTCAAAGTAGCATTTCCAAGAAGGACACTTTTGTTTGATTTAATTAAAACAAAAAAAAAAAATACTTAAATGCATCAGAATTGAATCAACAGTGTATTCAAAATCTGGTCGTAATTATTTCTCCCCCATGTGTGCCGTCTATTGTTTCTTTCGGGAAAAATAGTCCTGCTGAGTGTTTTCGAATTGTTCGTTTAAAAAAAAAATATTTACGGGTGAAATATGGACGTCATCTTTTGTCGTTCGATGTAAACAAGTGTTTTCGATTTGAATAAAATGAATAATGGAAAATTAATTAATATGCATGAAAGATTCAGAACACTCAAATATAGTTCTGCATATCATAAAAATCAGTATTTCAGAGTTTTATAGTGAACGACATACGATATAATGTATAGAATGGAGATTAATTAAAGTGATAACAATTGTTAAATATAATCTTTCAGATCATTACTCGAAAATATGTTATATTTGTTCGTTTGCGAGTTTTTCTTACCCTCATTATGAATAAAAATGTGAGAATTTGCAAAGCTGTTAAACTAGAACTCATATTCTTGACCCATAACAGTCTAAAACTTCTTAACATATCCAGTCATGTACTGTTGTTAAGGTTTTCCTCCCTTTTCTTTCTTTCTTTCCTGTGAATTTGCAGAAATTTGTGAATTTCTTTCCTGCGAATTCCTTTTCCTTTTTCAGTTCTGCTATCTTCATTCTGGTCTTGAATGACTTCTTTAGATACTGCAACTTCTATACGTATTTTTCATTCATGTCTTTCTGCAACCTGTTTCCGATGTTTTGTTTATCTTGCAAATTTAGAGGACCTGAAATTTCTTTGTATTCTGTGTGGTGGAAGATCGGAGAAATAAGTTATTAAAACAGTCACCTTTAATTTTAATCAGAACACAAATTTTATGCCTTAAAGATCTAAACAAAATTTGTGGCTTAAAATCGAAATAACACTGCAATTATATCACAAGTTAATGTTTTTATAATTAATTTTTATCAACAACTTGAATAGAGGTGTCACAGTTTCCATTACACAAATTATTTTGGTGTTTGGAAAATAAAAATTGTTGCAGTGTCACTTGTGGAATATATTTCTGCAAGCTCCATGTAAAAAATTCAAATTATAATAAAGCACACAGTGATATCTTGACTTAATTATTCTTGTCTTCATTAGCAAGAAATAACTTTGTAAATATGGTGTGCAAGCGATCAAGTGAAAACGGTGTTCAACTAGGGAGATCAGATTGCAGTTTCTTTTCCGGTTCTTATGAGTTTTTAATGTTTTAATATCTTTAATAATTTTTGGAAAATTTTAGATTATACCTTTATTTGCCGCGAATAAGAGCAGAAAAATCTAACTCTTAAGAAGCTAATGCATCATGTAAAATGTTCGCAAAATGCAAATGAGCTTTGCTGCACAACAGAGTGAACTTCACCAAATTATGACAGTTAAGGGCTGTATGTATTATGTCCTTCTAGCTATTAACAATCATGACGTCACGCTCTTTTTGTTCTGACAAATTTTTTTTCTTTTTTTTTTTTTTTTTTTGATCAGTTAGTTCGGAGATGTTGGCAGTTGATAGGAGAAGGAGACAGCATCATTCTACCAAGAGGTTTGGTGGTATTGCATCGCTACCCCGCTTATCTAGCATCAAATAAAATTGTAAGATAGTCTAGCCATTGTGGCTGAGCACATAATTGCATAATTTTTCAGATATTCAAATTACTTTACAGGGAAACATGAACTTAGAATAGTGCAGCAAATACTCTTTAAAACTACAACACTTTACAGACTTTAGAGAAATTTACAAACGTTTATTGCGCTACATCCAAATACAGTAACAGTGCAGAGAGTTAAACTTCTAAAAATAAATTGGGTGAATATTAAGTTCTTACTCTTGCCTTGTTCCTATTACCACCTACCAAAAAATGTAAATAAATTATATATAAATATATATATATCTATATATAAAACAAGGCATAGGTCTGTTCCGAGTTTTACAGGCTTGTCGAAAATCTGGGTGATCCTTGTCACCAGAGGACGCTGTTTCACCATAAACTTGCAGAAGGCTGAGCATTGTTATTGGGGATTTTAAGATGGTGTTTAGTAAGTGGACAGATGGTAAGATAATGGTCTGAGGTATCAGCTTCTCCACAGGCACAGTGGCCGGTGTTGCTGACCCCTTTTCTATTAAAATATTTGGAAAAATGGCCTTGGCCTGTAATAAATCTTGTTAATTGCAGAGAAATGACGTTGCGTTTGTTGTCTAATTGTGTTATGTAGTAGTATGTCCAGCGGTCTTGTTCACATTCATCCCACTCTGTTTGCCTTTTGATTTGTCCATAATCTTATCAGCCGACGACTTAAATTTTTGAAGTTTGAATGAAGTGAAAAGTTTTTATTATATGATCCTTGTTGTACTGGATGGTTGGTAATGGGGGCATAGCATATTGTCACTTGTGTTTCTACGTGACGGAAAGGCCCCGCTTTCCGTTTCTTAACTTCGCAAATAGGTCAAGCTCCAACGCATGCGTTCTTTCTTATTATGTCAATCAGCATCCGTCAGACTTACTGTGCACGTATCATTCGATATTCGAAACTCTCCCTACTAACCATCTTAGGTTTTAAGTCTTTTACTATTTAACTTTACTTATTAACTGCAAACGTTTGGTAGACGTTAAGCGATTTGCCGTTATGCCTAATGTAGAACAGAAGCTTGACAAGGGTGTAAAAGACCCTTTATTTGAAATTTAATAAGATGAACATAAGACACACCTAGTGTTTACAACTCTACCAACATTTATGGGGAGAAACTCAAAGTAGAAATTCAAATATAAAGCTAAATTTAAATAACGAAAATTTAACGGTTACACAGAGCAGTTTAACACGAAGTTGGTTCGGACTTAACGACATGAATTTAACTATTAGCAAGCATAATGAGAGGCTGAAAACAGAAAGCCCTATCTAGTATAGTATAGATATTAGTTATATATAGAACTCATATCTAGTAACATGGCCTTCACGAAGCAGAACACGCTCTAACTTAGCAATCTCAAAACCTCACTTTAAATACACCCGAAATTGTTTGCATTCTAGCGGGAAAACGGAAAGAAAGAAGTGACAGTAAACATTCAAAACATAAAATAACTGGTTATTTTAATTAAATGAATCTCACAATGTTTTGCACTATCTCAAATAACATGGCGTATTCCTCAAATGTTACCTCTGAAGACGGTCCTTTCGAACTGCTGCAGAACTGCTTGTCTATCAGAACAACATGCATCTGGTTCAACAGCAGATCTTTCGCTTCTTTAAATTCATCATGCGGCATTCGAGTTTCCTGTATCGTCATATTTATAAACGCTAATTGCCTATATTTTGCGCTGAATGTCTCTTGTGTCAATCTATATCTGCTGTTAAAAGTTGAAATACACCTCGCGATACGTTTTAAATTGATTATGAATGATACTTGTGATACCATCAATCTTCTGCAACAAAGATCAGATATCCAAGAAAAAGATGGTGGATTTTTTGGACATTGCTCTTTGTTTATTATGTGAGCTGCAAAGTAATCTAACCTCTCTTTAACTGACCAGATGAAGCGTTACAATCAAATTTCATATATGAACTCTCTCATCGTTTAGATCAAATATTCACAGACCTTGATAAGAATAATTTTTATTTTCATTTTATTTGTTTATTTGAGAAAGAAAGTTGCCTGAAACCCTAATTTTGTTGCAAACTATATAAAGTGTAGCTGGAGAACTGGTTTATAACTCTAGTTTTTCTACTCTTGGGTTTTTAGAAAAATAATATTTTCCCTCGAATTCTAAATATATTAATTTTGAATACATTTTTAGACTTCTACATACGTTTAGTAACATAAAAAAAATTTTTTACACCGTGTTAATTGTAAGTAAAAAAATGTTTACAGAATATCCGAAATAATATATTAAAAATATATTTCTAAGTATTTAGTTTATTTATTCCTATACTAATTTAAAAATACATTAATTTACGTAAGTAAATTAAGATTTTGTTTCTGAAATTTTATGTATATATAGTCATTTCATGTATTAGTACTGTGATTTAGAGTGTAGATTCGGACTTTATTTTGTTGAGATTTATAGTAATCATTATCTAAAAATTAATTTTGTTACTTACTTTTCTAATCAATTTCTATAAAATGCTTTTATAGTTGTTGCAGAAGATTTGCCTCACAGAGGACCTAATTTCACAATAGAACCTCCAGGCAAAGTTGAATTTTCAAACTCTAGTGGTACAGTGATATCCTGTTCCGCTGAAGGTACTCCTCATCCGATGGTTTCTTGGGTAAAACATGATGGTGAAATGTTGCAAGATTTACCGGGACTTAGGTACACAAGACATGACGGTACATTAGTATTTCCTCCTTTTCCTGGGGAAGAATATAGAGCAGACATACATGCTGCCGTATACAGATGTGAAGCCTCCAATGCTGCGGGAACAGTTGGGAGCAGAGATGTCTACGTAAGAGCAGGTGAGTTATGAAATTTCTTAAATTTACCACAAATTTAAATTTTTTATATTATAACTAAACTTGGCATTTTAATAAAAAATCCTTATTGCTTCTAAAAACCTTTTATTAGTTTTGCCAACTGGATCTCTTCCCAATGACGATAAACAGGATGTTTATAAAATAATGTGAGGTATTCAGAGCGCAGGAAAAAAAAAAAACAAATTTGATGGGCACATACAGTGGACCATTGGATTTCGATTTCTAAAACAAATTTTTGTAATATGCATAATCGCGCTCCGTGTAGCGAGCGTAAGTATAAAAGGAAAGGCTGGGAGAATTTTCATCATTCTAAGGGCAACTGCCTGTCAATGGCTCTTACATTACGGGATAGTGCTTTGCTAGTCAAGCTGTACATCAGCGGAACGAGGATGCCAATGCTGCCTTTGTGCATTTCGGCAGTTGAAAAAGTAGCGAAAAGGACCGATGAGCATCACAAACTTACGAAACCTGATCCAAAGATTTGAAATCAAGGACATGTGCCCCCGATAGCGAAACTCTGAAAGGTCGAATAATGTTACAAGTGAGATAAAAATTAGTTCTGATACGTTGTGAGATACCCTGAGAAATTTTGCGCAATTTATGCAGTCCTTGGAACATCACTATACGGGCATATTGAACCTCATTTGTAATAACCATTCGTTGTTTATAAAAATTGACGTGTGCTGTGTAGTTTGCAATTTAAATCATTCATTATTCTAATCCCCTTTTGTAGCGCGAACATTTCCTCTGATTGCAACTTTAGGTCCTATTGTTTTTTAAATCTAAATCCCATGGTCTATTATGTACGTCCATCAAATTGGTTTTGTTTTGTCCAATACTAGAAGGCTCTGAATAAATCATGTATTTCATTACCACCCCGTTGTTATTTAATTACTATCGCAGGAGAAAAAGAGAATTCCATATGCAAATTAATCAAAATTTGTTTGTCAAGATTGTAAAATTCATCCAATAGATTTACGTTTTCCTCACAATAATAATCAATAAGTTTTCCTTATTGTTTTATCAAAAAAGGTTAAAATGTGCATTACATTTACAATAAGAAAGTAAATTTTTGAAGGATTCGAAACAAGAAGTATATTTGTGAACACTGAGAAAGTTGTAAACATATTTTTGTTTAGTAATTCTTTTCTAAGTAAAGTAAATCACTTAATTGTTTTCACTCAGAAAATAAGATTTTGTACCTTACTGAAACCATTATAAATTTAGCGGATTTTAGAGGATGCCGCTCCTGTTAAGTGTTACTTATGAGCCAATTGTTATTAAAGAGTTGTTATTATACATTTTAAATATTAGAGCTTGTATTGACCAATTAAAATTCATTCAAATTATGTATGTGCATTATCTACTCACCATAATCAATTTCAGCAATCAAGGTAGGAATAAATGAGAAACCTATAGAGATGTTCTAATTTTCAGAAGTGATTTTCTGTCACCCGAAAAAGGACAGTGACAGTGAGTTCTTATCTGTCTCCTTCGGAACTATTAATTTGGCTTTATGTTTCTTCGCAGCCTGTAGTATCTAGTTCAGTATCTTTTATCGTCAGTCTATAAATCTTAAACATAGAATTCTTAGAACTGAAATTAAAATGAAAAACTAAGATTTCGGGAAGAGGCAATCGGATGATAAACGCTTGCCATCAAATCTTTAAAACCATTATTGCTACTTAGGCTTAGTTGCGATTAGGTATTTTATTTATGAAGTTCCATTACGTGTGATTCCTATATCATATTAAAGGAAAGATTCATTCTGAATTGTATTTTTTGAACCATTGATAGATGGTTTGAAAGAAGTAGCTTTGAAATATATATTTAATTTAGTTGCTATTAATTGAGGTTAGATTGGTTTATCCCCTGGATAAGTAGATTAATCTGCGATCAATGACAATAACAACTTTTTCAATATTTAGAATTTACTTTTGGTTTTAGTATTTTTGCGATTTAAGATATTTAGCAGATTTTTGAAAAAGAAGTTGAAATTACTCTTTAAAATACTAATTACTATTTAAAATATATATATATATATATATATATATTCTATTTCATACTTTTGAACTATATATATATATATAGTTCAAAAGTATTACTTTTATTGGTATTAATACAAGATTTTTCAGCAATGTTAGACAATCTCCATAAATCCACAAATATCTAAAAATTCTAAAAAATTCTAAAACAATAGAGGATCCTGAAGGACCTCATCTTTATTAAAATCGAAACAGGCCAAAATATGGACCATGGTGACCATGTCAGTCTTACAATAATGGCAATCAGGGATGATCTGTTTCTGCTAAAATGTGAGTGCTCTAATATGGCCACTCATTAAGAGCGAGAAGACCGTCTGATATTTTCTTGGCGATGTCTAAAAGGACCTCCTCGGGCGTCTTCCAGAATACTAGAGGTGATTAGGAGGAATCCTTTTAAGTTGGTTTAGTTCCATCTTCCTAAGAGAGGAGATTTCTCTATATGCGAGAGCCCACAAGTTTTCCTTCATCTCCATGGCAGCAGTCCTGGCCAGGTAGTCGGCTGTTTCATTTCCGTCGATGATGGGATCCACTGAAAATGGATAGAGTATCCAGAAGAAAAGCCGGATAAGAAGATCTAAGGTGCCCAGACTTGTCCTGTCTCCTATCTCTGTCCAATTAGATAGGTGTTGAACTGAAACACGACTATTAGTTAGAATCCAGACATCATGTAATTGTTTCTAAAGTTGGTACGCGTATTGTAAGCCCCTCCTTATAGCCATAAGCTCTGATCTGAAAACCGAACACAAAAACGCGTTATAGTCTTAAGTAAATGCTATACTCGTTCATTGTCAAATGAATTTAAGCATGTTTTGCTTAGCGTTGTCTTCCAATTAACAATACTGAATTAAATTATTATACTATGATTGATAACATTAAGTGATAATATGCATTTGAATTTGCAATCCAAGTTAAATTATTTTTTATAATCACCACTGAGGGGCTGCCACAAAAATTGCTCAAAAGTTTGATGTTTGAAAGGAAATTGCAGTCATGATATGTAGAAATGTAATGAAAACTTCCTATTTATAGACCTTTGCCCTTTGCACCACTAAGAGGGCTTCCGACCTAAAGTGGTATCTAACGGGAAAAGCCTAGTGGAAATTATGTATTGAAAAGTTACTTTTTACAGAGTTTATACAATGAATGTTTTTGCATGGCAGTGATATATTAACTTGATAATGAAAATTATTTACAGTCTTCTTTGCATTTGCATGGTACTGTAGCAACAGGTGCAGCAAAATTTAGCTATTTTCGGCACGCCTTCTGTTTCCTTGCTGACAATCGTGCAAACATTTGTACAAATATATTACATAATAAGCATGAATTCATGAATAGAATGGATCAGAGCTTTTATTATTAACCTAGAACTTCCGTTTTCATTAATAAAATGCTATGATGATCTTAAAGAAATATTCCTTTTATTTATCGAATAGAACGAAAATTTATTTGTACTCATAAATATCATCCTTTTTACATATTGCATGCAATATCTTTGATAAAATACAGATACAGACAGATACAGAAGTTTTATCCTTTTGATCCAGTTAGCAAACAAATCCAATTTAAAATATCTATGAATAAATATTGATATTAAATTTTTAATATATTCATACCTTAATGTAGGGGAAAATATTAAAATAATTCTCAAGACAAAAATGTTCACCAATTTTCTCAACTAGAGGATAAGACTAAGCCGTGGGCTTCGAACCAATTTTTGATGATATAAAAATGCATATATTTATATGTATATATTTATATATATATACTAAACTCAGTGCCGCAACAGCCCTAGTGGGCCATGGTCTGCAGTGCCCCGAAATTTGCTTTCTTGACTTTGGGCCACGGAGTGCATCAGCATTTGCCCTAGGCAAGTGGTCAGATTGTCGCAGGATCTCCGGTGTTTAATCTCCAAGGGATCTCGATACTCATTTTATCAACCCATCAAGGGATGAAAGACTGAGTCAATCTTCCCAGCCCTCGGATCGAACTCCGGACCTGTGGTGTAGTTGCATATATATATATACATATATGTGTGTGTGTGTAATATAACTGCGTTTTGTTGTAATAAGATTGCATTATCGTAATAAGTTGACTTGGTGAAAGTGAGTTGCAATGGATTGACGTTGATTCTCTGTATTATAACTGCATAGTTAGCAAGATGACACTCGAAGAACACACATAACGGTAAATTCCACACATAAATTTATTCCCGGATGATAATGCACATCATCATTGTGGATGCTCTATGCAACCTCCAATTTTCTACACATTACATCTTCTAAAAGGACAAAAATTAGAAAAGAAAACTCTGCACGATAGTGGCCAAGCGACACAAGCGTCTGAGAAGCAGAAGAGAAGACAGAAAGAGGGATAGCTGCGACGCATTTAAGCTTTTATACCAAATTCCATTTTACATCACATGGCAGTTTAATGTACAGATGTTGGGTTCAGACTTCATCGATTAGTGCGCAATAAATATTTACCTTCTAGCACGCGTGCTATGCACAAAGTTTACGGCAAATGCGTTTTTAATGCACTTTTTTCGCATATCGCAGCTGGAGACGTCTGAATGTCATTTTTCTTCCTCCTTTCAATCTTTTCCCACATCATGAAATGAACCAACAGGAAGTCATATGAATTTTTTTTGTTTTTTTACTGGCTTTTTGCACTACGTGGCAACTTCTTCATAAAAGTTACGACACACGCGTGGTCGTGGGTGAAAATTCGGAAAATATTTTTTCACAAATATTTTGCAATTTTATGTTATTAATTGACGTATATTATTTTAATTTGTATCAATTCGACTCTATAATTTTTATATCGTATTTCATAGCAAAAAAAAAAAAAAAAAAATATGTGCAACCAGCTGATTTTGCTCGCATTCTTCAAGAATTATCTGATGAAGGAAAAAAAGACAAGGAAACCTTTGGATGTGAG